AATCCTTGTTTTTTAGTGAAACAGTGTGTGCCTACCCCAATCCCCTCCCCCTGTGGTGGCTCCCCAAAAAAAATGTTCCATTATTTTTTTGAATACTTGATTTATTTTTATTTTATATTCTGTGTGCAGTTTAGTTATGTATCAGCTTTGTTTTACATATACGAGGAAGAAATATTTGATGAATGATACATGACTTTAATAAACTAATTTTGGCTATAAATAACAATGCAAATATTTCCTTGCAAAAAACAATGATAATACATGACTTATGAAGAATGGAAGGATATATGGGATGGGGGGTACAGTACAATGCAAACGTAGAGAGAAGGGAATTTTTCAAAACTTGGAGTTGAAACAGATATGGGAAGGATGCAACAAAAATTTTACGCTTATCGTGCACATGCACGTAGGATGTACAAATACTGACACAATGCACACAGCTAAATAAAACTGTACTAATGTGTTGTTACCGCTCATTATACGTAGCACGAATTTGTAAGGCTTGAACAATTAAAAGAACATATATTTAGACTATATGAAATATTTTTTAGTTTTTGAAGTCAACAGTTCCTGATGGAACATATTCCTTATTAAGAAATTGGGCAATATTATATTAATCTGATGCATCTAACCATTTACAGATCAAAGCATATGAATTCATCAATGCATTCAATTTTTAACTTCTTAGCCTCATATACTTTGCAGGTCTTAGAATAGTCAAAAGAGCTGCTCAAGACATGCATATCATCAACTATCAAAGTATACAAATATCAGATACCTGTATTATATGGTTGCTTCAGATTGCCTCAATCTCGGGAAACAATGTGTTCTTTTATTTTTAAAATAATTTATTTCCCATGTGCATTGCTGTAGGCAGTTCCATTAGTTGTTCTGTACAAAATAGCATATGAGAACCCCTCTTCAAATGCATAATTTGCTAATGTTTCTGGTTCATAGTCATTAATTTGAAATCAAGCATTTTCTTTCCTATTTGGGGTTGGCTACAAGAACTCCTTTTCTCCATTCAGCTCTATTTGAATTCATGATTTGAACCATTATGATCTGCTTATGGATGAAGATAATGTGGTTTTATTGACACATTTGTAGTATATTGTCCAGTTATTTGAGTATCTCTATATGAGATTCTGAAATTATTATTTCTTGTTTAAAAGGCGAGTGGTATCATCCGAAGGGAATATGATATGAAGTGTAAGCTGCTAAGGGATCAGGATTCAAGAAATGAAAGCCGGTTCAAAATTGACAAAACTCGCGCATCTGTAAAGGACTTGCACTCTAGGATTCGTGTTGCCATTCACAGAATTGACTCAATATCAAAGACCATTGAGGAATTAAGAGACAAAGAATTACAACCACAGCTTGAGGAGTTAATTGGAGGGTATGATCCCTATCTCATCTTCTTGATATTTATACTCTAAACAAGTATAGAAGATTACAGAAGACTGAAATTACTTAAGCATCTTCTCAAAAAATCACTTAAAAACATACGTTGCACTTGATCCAGTTACTATTGATGTTAAATCTCAAGTGCTCAAAATATTCTTCAGAATGGGCATGTTGCTTGCAAATAAGGGCCATCTGCATTTTCTCAAAATATTCTCCAGTTACTATCAAAACTTTTGTCGTGCGAAATTGGACTCCAATGATGGCTCTGGCAGTTCATATATCTGCATTTTCTTGTGTTTCTTTTTGTTAGAATAAGTTTTAAGGTGGCTTATGTTTTAAGGTGGCTTATGTTTCTTTCAGCTATAAAAGCTAAGATACATTTTAAAATTTCTCATTGGTCTTTCCATCTTTGTACAAAAATGTGTATGGTAGAAATGAGAATGTTAAAATGTTATGAAGTATATGTGAATATACACTAAGAAGTAGGATAAGAAATAAATGCATTTGTAGGCGTTAGAGACTGCCTTTGTTGAGGATAAAATGAGGCGAAATCAATTGATGGTATTTGTCCACGTCCTCGGATAACGTGATAACCGATAAGATTATGTTTAATAGATCAGGGAAAACTAGAGGCAGACCTATCCCTAGGAGAGCCTCATTTGAAGCAATTAAGAACGATATGACAGTGGTTAACTTAATGGAGGAAATAGTCCCAAATTGAACTCAATGAAAGACTAGGATTCATGTAACCGCCTCGAAAATTTGGTTTGTAGGTTTTATTCTTGTTGATTAATCTTTGTTCTTTCTAATGCCTTTGGTGCTTCGTTTATGTACTTCTCCGTATTTTTCTACATCATTACAGCTTGACTCGGATGTGGAGGATGATGCTCGACTGCCACAAACAGCAATACAACCTCATCGCCTCTGCATCCAACAATGGAACCACAAAACTCTCATCAACCCGCTCCGAATCCTACCGCCAGGCCACTATTCTCCTCCAATTCGAGCTCACTTCTTTGTGCTCAAGCTTCACAAAATGGATGCAATCTCACAAATCCTACCTCGAATCCATCAACGGGTGGCTCCTCAAATGCATTTTCCTCATACCCGTTAGGCAAAAGTCCTCTCGAAGAAAAAACGCTCAGTTCTCTCCTCGAAGAAGCTTAGCTCCTCCAATCTTTGTAACTTGTAGAGATTGGCTTAAACTTCTTGATGAACTTCCTACTAGAGAAGTATCCGACGCTATCAAAGATTTAGTTGATGTTACCGCCCATTTCTTGCCTCGACCAGAAAAGGGCCATCACGGGAAGAAGAGAGGAGGAAACTATGAGGAGTTGCAGAGAAATGAATCAATGGTGGATTGGAGTTTGAACTACGATACGTTGCAATCATGTTTGGTTGTGCTATTGGATAGAATGAAATCCTTCGCTGATGTTTCCGTTTCAAAGTATGAGGACCTACAGAGTTCCATTGATGAGGCTAGAGCTGTATATGACAGAGATGAGAAGGGTGGAATGAGGTAACTCATGTTGTTCAGATTTGTAAATTAATGAAATAAGAACGGGCCAATAAAGAGGCCATAAGCAGAATTGGGGATGTTTGGGGTCAATAAGTTCATTTTTATACTTGTAGATGCTTTTGATCAAGGGTAGTCATTTGTAGATGTAGGCAAAGTTGAGAGTGGGGTTTGTCATGCCTACTGTATGTTGTAGAGGTGAGTTGTGTAGGTTTGGCCACACAAGTTTAATATATGTCCAAAGTTTCAAGTGATTTCATTCATGATTCATCAAGTGAAACATGCATTCTGTGTGTGTGTGTGTCTCTCTCTCTCTTTTGTCATTTTGGCATGCCTTTTTGTAGATGTATGCAATGAGCTAAGTTTAATATATTTCTTCCTTTTAAGATTGTAATATTTGGGGTAAATTTCAAAAACTGTGATGGATTTTGGACTTATTTTAAATAATACTAGGGTTTTTTTTGTTAATGTAATTATTCTAAAAATCAAGTTAGTTTTCTTTAATGAAAAAAACTACACAAATTGGTGTAATTAATGCATGGAAACAGTTAATTGTCTTTTATACAACATCAATGCAAAATTCATGACATTTAAAAAAAAAAGTTCTAGCCCTGTCTAAAGTGAAATTTTCCATCGCAACTAGAGTTTAGCTCCTAATTCTTTCATCTTGTGATTGTTATGGGTTGATGACCTAACTTCCTTGAAAAAGTTAGCATAATGGATTGGATGGTGAACTCAAGCTAGGTCTACTCTCTTTATTTCTTATCCTTTTGGTTTCCTTCCAGTAAAATATTTAAAAAGTAATGTTAAGGATTTTTTTTAGTAATGCGCAAAATATGATTTTTAGAATCTAAATTTATGTCATGACTGAATTGGCACATTGTATAATAATTAGGATAGTTATTGGACATTTCAAACTTTATGCGCATAAAGCAGAAATCTAAAAAATGTAATGATAGGAAAAAAAAAGTAACTAAAACCGATGCATATTAGGGATTTATAACTGAAAATACAAATTATTAAGTTATTTTATGGTCATTTTTTAACAAAATGAAAAAGAAATTATTATTAGCTTGTTTATCACCTTATTGAAGAATTACAGGAAACGGGAAGGAACCAGCCAGACAGACTAGCGGTCGACCGCCAACGTGCACGCAGGCCTACTGGGTTTCGGAGATGAAGGCGGTCGACCGCCGCGGTCGACCGTGGATGACTGTAATGGATTTATGCTCTCAGGTTTGTGGTCCGGTCGACCGTCGCGGTCGACCATCGATGTTTTCTGGGCTAGGCTTCGGTTTTTTAACCCGATTCGTTTTCTAAGTTATATATAACCCTAAACCTCTTTTGTTAGGGTTAAGCAAGGACGAATTTGAGCAGTCTTTGAGAGAGGATTGTTGCATCCAATTGTAGGAGAGTTGTGAGAGATCTAGAGCTTTGTTTTAGGGTTTGATCGGTGAGATTTGTAACTCTATTTGTATTCTCTTGATTTCTTATAGTAAGAACTCCCCCCTCCTTGCCTCGTGGACGTAGGCAACTTGCCGAACCACGTAAATCTCTTGTGTTATTTGGTAATTGTACTTGTTTATTTGGTTGTGATCTCTCTTGTTCGGATTGTGTGATTCGACCGCTTCCGCGCCGCGCACAACAATTGGTATCAGAGCCAGGTTCGACTTGAGGCTTGTTTGAAGGATTCGCTGAAGGATTCCTATTTGAAGAGTTAGATCGACAACATGGGTGAAGCAAGCACATCAGGATCGTCTCTTACGAAGACGATACATAGTTTGAGCATCAATAACATGAAAATCGATGTTCCGAAGTTTGATAGTAAGATCAATTTCGGTTTGTAGGTGCCAGGTGATGGATGCGTTGGACGCTCAAAACTTGGAAGAGACTCTTGAGTTACAAGAGAAACCTGCCGAGATGGAAGCTAAGGTTTGGAAGAAGATGAATAGTAGGGCGTGTGGAGTTATTCGGTCATGCTTGACGTCGGATCTTATTTATGATGTGATGAACGAGACGTCGGCGAAGAAGATGTGGGAAACACTCAATGAAAAGTATCTTACTAAGAGCATTGAGAATCGGCTTTACTTGAAGAAGAGGTTTTACCAGTTCAATATGAAGAGGGGAGTTTCCATTAGGGAGCATGTTAACAACTTCACAAAGCTACTTTCAAACATGGCCAATGTGAATATCATGGTTGAGGATGAAGACAAGACGATGCTACTTTTGTGTTCGTTGCCCGATGATGATTATGGTACTTTTGCCCTAACTATGATTAATGGAAGAACTACTATTTGTTATAAGGAGGTGACCTCAGCGTTGGTGAATTATGAGTTGAGGAAGAGTGTTGATGAGTCCTCCGAGAAGGCATCGGGAGATGTATTAGTAGTTCAAGGTCATGGTTCAAACCGAAGCAGGAGGTCGCAGTCTAGTGCACATCGTGGGATTCGTAGGAATCAGTGTGCCTTTTGTAAAGAGGATGGGCATTGGAAAGCCGAATGCCCAAAGTTAGATCGAGCCGAGAAGAATAAGGGGAAAGTTGTACAAGCTTCAGAGGTGAATATTGCCAAGACTAGTGGCAACAATTCAGATTCGGATTCTTCGGGCTATTCATTGTCTGCACTTCCGTCAGTTTGTGTTGCCAACTCTACAGAGTGGATGTTGGATTCGGGTGCTTCGTACCACGTTTTTCCTAGGAGGGATTAGTTCTCTAGCTTTCAGAAGTTAGAAAGAGAGGATGTTGTGCTCATGGGTAATGGACATGCATGCTCTATTGGCGGTATTGGTACCGTTCGTATTTGGATGTATGACGGAGTGATTCAGGAGTTGGAAGGAGTAAGGTTCGTTCCGCAGTTGTCGAAGAACATCATTTCACTAGGAGCTTTGGTGGCATCTGGCTATAAAGTGACCTTGGTGGATGCATGTTTGAAGGTCACATTGGGGTCCATGATTGTGATAAAGGGCGTCAGAAGGAGCAATTTGTATTATTTGCTCGGAAGCACGACGATTGATAGAGAGATGACGACTTCATTAGATTTGGCTAGACTGTGGCGTTGTTTGATGCTGGGTTATTTGATTGGTAATGCCGTGCATAGGTTATTGAGGAGTGCTTTGACCTGCAGTTTGAAGTCCTGTGAACCCATTGGTATGAGCGAGAAGACCGAGGTGGAGTTTGGCACGTCTATTCATCATTCGATGGGTTTTCTGAGGGGTGTTCATTCAGGCATTCGGGAGCCTTCCAAGGGAGCATTATTGGGAGGTAATAGTCATTCAGGCATTCGGGAGCCTTCCAAGGGAGCATTATTGGGAGGTAATAGGTATGTGGTTTCCACAGTTGGTGATTGCTCTAGGCATTGGTGGGTTGCAACCAAGTCCCGTTGGTGTGAAGTCCTAGAAGCCCGCAACAGATAGAGGAAGTGTGTTGGTAGAAAGGTAACCCGACATTCTGATTATGGTAGGGGTTCTTTCTTGCATTTGTGCTGAGCTCACGACAATAGGAGATACTTCATTGGTGTGGAAACTTTGAGGAGACAAGGCGAGATGACAGATTTGGGCAGCTATTCCTTTCTGGAAGAGGATCGGCGTTTGATGTCAAGCATTGGCATTAGTGTGCAGGCTACGACAGGTTTGGGCCGTCTTATGTATAGGTTGCCGACTGCTGCATGTAGAGATATGGGATCTGGTGGAGCTGCTTCAGATTTTGGGTTGCGTCGGATGTTTGGCTACCCAGCACCTGGTCACATCGTGGATGTAAGATTTGATCCGATAGCACATTTGGGATTCAGAGGCGTGTTTGATTATCAGGTATTGGCTTCTGACTTTGTTCTGAGCAGGTATGTCACGTTTGACTCTCGGCAGGTGGAGAGTGGTGATCAGATCTTTGGGACATCGCAGCGGGTGGAGAGTGATGCTACTCTACATTGGGTGGAAACTCCAGATCATACTGCATCATTTGAGATTCTAGCTGATGTGACACAGATTGAGAATCATGTTGATTTGGATGCAGATGATAGGTTGATTGATTTGAGTACAGCTGATAGATGTAGTCTGGATATGGCCATTGGTTCATCTCAGGTGGAGATGTTTGGATTAGTTCAGTTTGAGGCCATTGGAGGTGCTATCAGCCGCAAACTTGATCATGATGTTGGAGAAGGGTTGCGAACTCTTCTAGTGGATTGAGGCTTTTGGAGGCCATTTGGGTGAACTACGTTCGGCTTGATTCCTTGGGCAAGAGGATACGTAGACAGTCTTTCAGATGCAACCGGTTTGATCAGTTGATTCAGATAGGGGGAGATCGCGTTTCAGCCCTAGTTTGATTCCCTGACTTGTTAAGGGACTATTGGATGATTTGGTGTCGGCTTAGTTTTGGTGGAAACATTCGCCGAGGTGGAGAATTGAAGAATTACAGGAAACAGGAAGGAATCAGCCAGACAGACTGGCGGTCGACCACCGCAGTCGACCGCCAACGTGCACGCAGGCCTACTGGGTTTCGGAGATGAAGGCGGTCGACCGTCGCGGTCGACCGTGGATGACTGTAATGGATTTATGCTCTCGGGTTTGTGGTTCGGTCGACTGCCGCGGTCGACCGCGAGACCTGCGCGGTCGACCGTCGATGTTTTCTAGGCTGGGCTTCTGTTTTTTAACCCGATTCGTTTTCTAAGTTATATATAACCCTAAACCTCTTTTGTTAGGGTTAAGCAAGGACGAATTTGAGCAGTATTTGAGAGAGGATTGTTGCATCCAATTGTGGGAGAGTTGTGAAAGATCTAGAGCTTTGTTTTAGGGTTTGATCGGTGAGATTTGTAATTCTATTTGTATTCTCTTGATTTCTTATAGTAAGAACTCCCCCCTCCTTGCCCCGTGGACGTAGGCAACTTGCCAAACCACGTAAATCTCTTGTGTTTATTTGATGATTGTGCTTGTTTGTTTGGTTGTGATCTCTCTTGTTCGGATTGTGTGATTCGACCGCTTCCGCGCCGCGCACAACACTTATAAAGCTAATTATTTGTTGCTCATTATTTAATTCCACGTGCATCTCGTGTTCCAAAAACACGCGCAAAAAGCCACGGAGCTTCAAGATTCCGTATCTTCCGCAGAGACGAACTCTTTAATCTCGCGGCAAAATTTCCTCTTCAACCGGTTGAAACTTTTAGACCAATGCTACCCATAAGCTTTGCCAAAATTTACTTCCCTTCTTTTATCTGAAGAATGAAATAAACCTTTAATATCAAGGGCATATTAGTCATTACCTGTCAAGTCGCTCTCTGCGAGGATCAATCCTTACCATGAAACTTTTTCATTCAAACTCCTCAACTATTCCAAATTTACATACTCAACCCTTTTTTATCGAAAGAATTATTTCTAAAAATAGTTAAAATTATTGCTATACAAATACGGCAATATGAAGAATTAATCAGTGATCCTTCTCTTCTCTTTTTCTTTTTTGTAAAAGAAAAAGAAAAAGAAAGAGGAGGAGATTGCTGAGATTGAAACCCTAAAATTTTGATCTTCGTTAGGGTTTCAATTTCAAGCAATGGGGGTCTTCAACAAGTTTAGAAGTCTCGATGCGTACCCTAAGATCGATCAGGACTTCTACAAAAGAACGCGATCGGGGGGCCTCGTCACCATCTTCTCTTTGATTGTTATCGCGTTCTTGTTCTTATTGGAGATCCGTAAGTTTTTTTATTTTTCTCCTTTTTTAAAGAATTTTTTGGTGATTGAGAAATTATTTGGCGGGAATAGAAAATTTTAGGATTTTTATGGCAACTATGGTTGATGGGAGAATGAAATTGAAATTGCAGATTTAAAGTAGGATTGATGTAATTTTTTATTTTCTTTTAATTTTAAAAAATTGGGAAAGTGCTATGATTTTTCAAAAAAATTTTTATTTTTTTAATTTTGAGTAGATTTTTTTTTGTGATTATTGATTTTAGTTTGACAATTTTATAGCTTATTTGGCGGGAAAGGGAAAAGCTTGGATTTTTTTTTTATGTGTCTTGATCTTGTTTATGGCTCATTATTTATTCACAAGTGCATATCACGTGCTAAAAACACGTCGTTGAAAGCGCGGAGCTGTAGATTCCTCTTTCGCCGGCGAACTCGTCGATACCAATAATACTCCTAATTTATTCCTAAATTTACTGCCATAATTTAATTATTAACCCTCAACCTCAAGGGTATATTGATCATTTGTTTCCGTCAATTCCTTACCATTACGGTACTAACCCGAATCTAAATCCTCGTAATCTTTATCATCCACCCCCTCTTAATTCCCAATTTTACAAAGCCGCCCGAATCCATAAACTTCTAGCAGGAGCACAATTTCTTATTCTAATCCAACTACCTGTCATACTCCACATCATCACCTCCTTAGCCACGGACCAATCACCATCCCCCAGACACTTATTAAACGCCCGCCACGTAATCTGACCGCAGTATCTAAACTGCACCTAAGGTACGGCTTATTTCTCAAAATAGTAGTTACAAAATAATTGCTAATATAAAAGACGGCGGCCGGAGAAAATCGTTCAGCGTTCAAACCTCCGATCCTTTCTCTTTTTCTGTTAGAAGATTGAAACCCTAGAATTTGATTTCGTTTGGGTTTCGAGCTGCGATTCCTCTTGATTAGCTGTTGATGAGCGATGGCGATCTTCAATAAGTTGAGGAATCTCGATGCGTACCCTAAGGTCAACGAGGATTTCTACAGAAGGACGCTCTCGGGGGGCCTTGTTACTATCTTTTCTTCGATTCTTATTGGCTTCTTGTTTTTATCGGAGCTTCGTAAGTTAAATTTTTTTAATACAATTTCTCCGTTTTTTAAAGATTTATTGGCTGATTTTATTGGTTTTTGGCGGGGAAGGTGAAAAGTTTGGATTTTGGTTGTTATTGGTTAATGGTTCTGATAATTTTGGTTGACGGGGTAAGATATTGTAGGTTTAGTGCTAGCGTGATGTAATTTCGCAAATATTTTTAGATGTTTTTTAATATTTTATTTGGGAATTTTGTTGCTTTATGCGACTATGGTTGATAAATTGTTGTAGCTTCTCTTAGAAGGCTTGCAACATGTGTGTTTTTTTTTTGAATTATTTGATGATCTTATCGTTTATTTTGCGGGAGAGAAGAAAAGTTTGGATTTTGAGTTGAAATTGATTGATGCCTTTGGTAAATGTGGTTGATAGGAGAAAGAGTCCGTATGCTTCATGCAAGCGTGATATAGTTTACGGAAATGTGTTAGTTTTTTTTCCCTATATTTTTATTTGGGAAAGAGGGAAATCTCATATGAGAAGAGTACTTAGTTTCTGCTTCATGATATTAAGTGCTGCAGAATTTTGAGTTTGACGTTATGTTGATTATCGGCTTTGAGGCAAAAGGCATCTGTTACGGCGTTTCTTTCATATTTGATGATAAAGGAAGTGGGGTGTGTTTATGAGTTCTTCATACATTGATAATTGTATCTAACTTCCACTCAACCCACTCTCTAAACGTTTTGTTAGTCAATTATTGGTTGATCCTTTGCTAATTGTTCAGAATTTGATCAGTTGATTCCTTTATGCAGGCCTGTATCTTTACTCGGGAACTGAGACACAACTGGTAGTAGATACTTCAAGAGGAGAAAGATTACGTGTCAATGTTTGTCACTAACCCTCTTATATCTTCTTTTACACTTATTGTCAATGATGCAATGACTGAGTATTTTGCATCTTGATATATATTAATGGCTGAATATTTTGCATCTTGATATATATATATTTAATCTTTAATCCGCCACCTTAACTTTCTGAAAGTGTGTATCTGTGACATTATGAGAATTTCTATTTACAAATAATGAGACCCTAATGCTGTTTGCCTTTGTTTAAATGTGTACTGATTAGTTGTCTATACTCTCCAAACTGATGTAGAATCAGCATTATGTGATAAGATGACACGTCTGTTAAATGGCATAAAAAATTCATTTCATTATCATATTATGAGACTCGCCTTGTGCCTGTATATAATGTGTTACTCCGAATTACTAGTTGTGTATTGAGGGTGTTTAGGTGAGCTTATTCTTTGAAGCTTATTAGTTATGCTAGTTTTTACCGGCTTTTAGCTTTTATGAGAAAAATGCTATAAAAATTGTTTGGGCAAAATAATTATTTAACCTAGTTTATTTAGACGAGCTTATAAACTAATTTTTCAAAAGCTGAGGTATACTAGCTTTTTAAAATTGGGCTTATAAGTTAACATATTTGATATTTTACCAAATAATTAGATATTAAAAAGCTAGCTTAAAAGCTAGTTCGACCAAAAAATAAGCTCCCCCAAGCATCCTCATAGTATCAAGGTGGATATTAAATCAGCAGGGTAGATATGATGGCACATTGGTTAAATCGTATAAGATCCTCTAAATCATCATAGAGTTCTAAAACATGCTTGTTGTTTTTGCAGTTTGATGTTACCTTTCCATTGCTTCGTTGTTCTCTTATAGCTGTTGATACCATGGATATCAGTGGCGAGCAACATTATGATATAGTATGCTCAAAAACTTTACTGTGTTGTTTTACTTTTAGATTGACATCTTGGATAGCTTGTCTTATTCTTCTATGTGATTCTGAACATGTTGAATATGCTTCATTTTTCCACAGAGGCATGACATACTAAAGAAAAGGTTGGATAATCATGGTAATGTAATTGCATCAAGGCAGGATGGTGTTGGTGCACCTAAGGTAGATGACTTGCCTTTTTGCATATATTTGCTTTTAATTTGAAGTTAGTAGTATGTATTTCTACACAAGCACCATGCGCACACACACACACACACAAATATTGTATATCTGATTTCATTGTATTTTTCGCACTTGACCTTGCACTTATGCATATGCTATAATCAATTATGTTCTAATATTGTTTCATTAACCTTCTTTTCTCTGAAACTAGTTGTATTGAGCATCTTCTCTATCTTGCACATCCTAGTCATGGCTAAAAAGAGCCAACAGCAACATACTCCAAGGAAAATTAAATTAAAAAAGAACATAGACAAAAGTCTGATAAAATTGGTCCCTTGTTCCAACTGGATAAACAGAGTAAAGGTGGAATTCAATATGCAGTAACTCATTTGAGATCTGTTTCCGAACATCTATAGATGCAGGAGAAAATAGACTGCAATGTTTTATAAACCCGTTTCTCTGGTCACCCACTGCACAGCCATTTGTGACATATATCAGTGTGTGCGGGCATTGTGTATTAATGGATATTCAGAGATGACCTGATGCTACCAAATGAAGTTACGCTTCAGGTTGGATCTTCTCACGTCTTTCCCCAGTTGACTTTGCTTCCTGACCGCTGTTTCCACAACTACACCTGGGCTCTTACCTACTTAATTGTGATGGAAGCTCCTGTTACCTTCACTTTATTGATATAACCAGGAAGGAGATCTCTTAACATTGCCTTCTAGCTTCTAGCTCAAAAGGAGGTGAAACCTTGAGTTTTTTTCTCAAACTTAATAAGCTTATGCATGTGATGCTGCAAATTAACTTATTTTCTTGTTACTATCTTATGTGGCCTGTAATGTTGGAAGTTGAAACGTTATACATTTCATTTCATTTTGAAATCTTTGTCGACTCATTGGTGCTAGTTTATAACAATGTTTTTTTAATACATGCCCCTATATTACATTCGTTCCATTCTCTTTAAACATAAGTGTATGCTTATCTAAAGTTTTTCTTATCTTTTCGCCTTATTCTTTTCAGATTGAAAAGCCTTTACAGAGGCATGGTGGACGGCTCGATCACAATGAGACTTACTGTGGTTCTTGTTATGGTGCAGAAGTGGTATGTAATTTTCTCAACGTTATATTAGCCCGCAAATGCTTAGCTATCATTTGTACCAATGTTGAAATTAGCGATAACGCATAGCGTAACGCTCACCTCCGGTTAACGCAAAAAAAAAGTGTAACTCTTAACGTAGGTTAAATAATTTATTATTATTTAAATATTTTATTGATACATAATATTCAAAATCAAATAATATGAATAATCATCACGGTTTTCGAACATATTATCATAAAAATACTATCACAAATCAATATATCATCACAATTTCACAACAAAATCAACCATGTATGCCTCAACAATCATTCCAGAAGCATAGTCGTTAAAAAAATATACATCACACATTATCGCAGTAAGTTCTAATAGGTAATAGCACATCATAAATCTAAAAACATCTAATAGTAATCCAAGTGAAGTTACAACTTTCATTTTTGAAAGAAAAGTACCCGTTTTTATTACTTCTAAATCTGATTAATTAGAAAAAAAGTAATTACTAATTCTTTGATCTCTTTTTAATATTTTTTTAGTGCAAAGTCTGATTAATTTGAAAAAAACTCAATCACAGCCATTAAAATTCTTTTAAAAATCAATCCCAGCCTTTTAATAATTTAACCTAAGCTATGGAGCGCTATGAAGACGCGTTACAAAGCGTACGTTATGGGTAAAATAGCATACATTATTTTGTTTCTGCGCTATTTTCCAACGCTACGTAGTGACAGGGTGGCGCTACGTTACGCTATGCGCTATTTTGCGCTATGGAACGCGTTGTTTTCTACACTTATTTGTACATTCTATTCTTATTGTTCTCTATTAGAAATGTATAACTGCCATCTTATTGACAGTTAGTATAACAATAAGATTCTTTCCTTTTGCAGGCTGATGATGACTGTTGTAACTCATGTGAAGAAGTTCGTGAAGCATACCGAAAAAAAGGATGGGGTCTCTCAAATCCTGAATTAATTGACCAGGTAAAGAAAGGAAGAAATGTTTGTGAGCTCCCTTCTGGCCTTTATTTTCTTTTTACTTTATTTTATGTTGTCATCTAATTTATTTTCTGAAATGTGAGATTGTCCTAAATTTTCCTTGGTCAGACACCCATCATTTTACTGCTGTATTTCTGATCCCAATTGTCATTTCAGTGCACAAGGGAGGGCTACTTCAATCAGATTAAAGAGGAGGAAGGTGAAGGATGCAACATTAATGGCTTCGTCGATGTCAGTAAAGTAGCTGGAAATTTTCACTTTGCCGCTGGAAAATCTTTGCATCACAATCAAGATCTTATTTCTGATTTGTTGGACGTTCAGCTAGGAAACCATAATGTGAGTAGCACACAACCTTTTATTGTGTTTTCATTCTTTCGTTAGTAATGCCACTGGCATTTCAATTGATATTTGGTTATGGCATTCAATTTACTCTTCATAAACCAGATAACCCACAAAATAAACAAGCTATCCTTTGGAGAAGAGTTTCCAGGTGTCGTCAACCCACTTGATGGGTAAGTATGAGATGTTTGAGCTTGGGAAGCAATAAGAAAGTATATTTTCGTTATTGCCTTTTATTGTAAGTTCAAATCACATATTTTCTAACATCACCTGGTTTTGGTAAAATTCCAGAGCAAAATGGACACATCATACATCATCAGGGATTTACCAGTACTTTATCAAAGTGAGCACATAATCCTTTTTCCTCACTGATATGAAATTTAGAACATTTATCATTGGCCCTTAATCTTTATGATATTTAGAACAATTTAGAAGTATTGGTGATAAACTTAATTTTATACTCAGGTGGTCCCAACAGTCTACACTGACTTGACAGGAAACAAAATTCAGTCGAATCAGGTAATTATCTTGATTTTAGTTTTTCTTGGCACTATTTAGGAGAACTGCAGTCTTAACATTTTAATTCCAAATTACAGTTTTCGGTCACAGAGCACTTCAGAGATGATAATAATGTTCATCCTAAGCCCCCTCCTGGGGTATACTTCATTTATGATTTCTCTCCGATCAAGGTGAGTTACTGAAGCATCACACTGATGGTTTTATTTTGAGTTTCTATCCTGATTGCCAGAATGGCCTTCCTGATCTATTCTCTTGCTTCTATATCAATCTATTGAAGCCGAATTCTATCAGTCTATTAGTATTTAATATATACATTGTTTGCATTCAATGGGTTATAAGCTGTGGTAGCTCTGCTGTTTGATTTTGTCTGATCCTTTCCCTTTTTAATTCATGATACAAAATTTTCTAATGCTTGATTTTTGTGCTGCATGTTACAGGTGATCTACACGGAAGGAAAAGTGTCATTCCTACATTTCCTGACAAATATATGTGCTATAATTGGAGGTTGCTCTCATTACCCTTCAATCATTTGAGTTACATATATGATTAATTCATCTTTGGCACGAGGCATGGTCATTGACAAACATCTCTTTAGCCTCCTCCTACATCTTAAGATTATGGGGGGAAAAAGGTTCATAGATAGGGCCGTCTATAGAAAATATTATAGGGGAAAACAGTTGCAAGTTCTAACATCAATTTTAAAAGTTGTGGTTGCACTGATTTTCACCGTTTGTACTGATTCAGTATTTTGTTTTCACCGAATTGTTTGCACTGATTTAAAATTGGTAGCAGCATTTTCCAATAATATGATGTACTGGGCTTTCTTTACATGATGTGGTTTTCCAACATTTTTCAACTTTGGAATTATTGCTCCCAGGGGTCTTCACAGTTGCCGGAATCATCGATTCCTTCATCTATCACGGCCAACGAGCGATTAAGAAGAAGATAGACCTGGGAAAGCACCGATGATGTTGTAATGACTCGTGCCCAGTTCGTTCACGTTTATATCATGGAAGCAGCAGCCAAAAGCGGGTCAGCAACGAGATGAGATGGGTGGTGGCTTTTGAGATAGATGGTGGTGCTGAACGCGGATCTTGCAAATTTTGTATCTATCATAACTTATAATTGTAACATTATTTTGTTATTGGTATGTCATCTTTCACCTACAAATGTGCAGTTAATCTCAGTGTTCCCTGAGTTGTTTATACAATCAGTTGCTCGGTTTCTGTACTTATGGTTCGATTCATCGTTTACTGTGTCTCGAGCGTTCTATTGCTTTACTATTGCTTTGTTTGGGAGTTTACTAAGGGAAGGAACAGAGAGTTAAACAATGAAAAGGAAAGGTAAGGAATAGAAGTGAAAACATAAAATGTTGTTTGGGAGTTTAGTAAGATGAACATAAGTAAATTTGTTCTAACTTGCTTGAGAGTTCTAATAAAGAGGAGGGAAGCGAAGTGAAATTGTATAAACTTACATAAATGCCCTTACATATTGGATGTGAGTATATATTAGCCATTGATTTTATTGTTATAAGGGTATAATTGTTTTATCATATTGTAAAATTTTATATTGATTTTCATTCCACCCTGTACCAATTGGAGGGGAGAAAAATGGAAGGAAATTTAACCTTCCATTCCATCCTAACCCCTCAAAAAAAAAAAAAACTCTCAAACAAGGTGAAATTAAAATTTCACTTTAACATCCATCCATTAACCTCCATCCAAACAAGGTTTATGTCTCGAGCGTTCTATTGCTGATTCAAAATTCATGGATGCCACGTGTGCTATGTTCTTACCAATCCTTTTGTGTTCTAATCTTCTAATCGATATGAAGTATGCTGTGTTCGTCTCATTGGTTCTAGGTCCGGATTTTCTACAATCTTGATTGTAGAGAGAATACTTGCAATTAGCTAACTGGGTTAATACTATTGGCTTATTTTAGTTGGTCTTACAATTAAAAGTTTTTTTATATTATTTAGAGTACGCTGTGCGAAAAGTTTTAATTGGTGAGTTATGGAGAACAACAAGGGTCTGATTTCCAGTAATTATGAGCTTTTGTCATCACATCTCTTGATATTGACTTAAAAGGCCAAAAAATGACCTTAACAGAACTGAGTTGCAGAATGAAGCTCCTTTGATGGGTGAGTCTACTGTTCACGGACTGGGATTTGATGTAGTCTTCTGTGGCTATTGTATGAACTTCCTGCCCAATCAATACAGAAATCATATGAGGGCATCTGTAACTATCTTGCCAATGAATTATCTGTATTATCTTTTAAAATTTTCAGTCATTTGTTGCATCGAACTTTATGAAACACACCAACTTTCGGTTATCTGCGGAGGGGGGCCCAAAATTATCTGTCATGAACCATATTCTCCCTTCTCCCCCTCTCCCCCCTTTTATTAAAGGAGAATTCTTTAAAAAGGATTCATTTGAAAAAATAATTAGCAAAATAGACTATTTTATAAAATTATTATCAAAATCGACCTCTTTTTTTTTAAAAGGATGTCGAATTTACAGAGATTCGGCTTTAAAATACAGGGGTCTGTCCAGCTTTAAAATACACGGCACTAGTAGTCCAGCGTATTTAGTTCTCATTAATTAAACCTTAGGTATTTCAGCACAAAGTACACGAGACAGCCATTTCAGATTTAACTATAATTGGCGACCACTAATTTTACTGGACTACTAGCCCTGTTACTCCTCTTCCCTTCCTCTTCGTTAGTGGACTAATATTTCCATAAAATGGTTGGTTTTGCTCATTGTCTTTCAAAAATAATCTTTTTCTTTTAAATAATCATCCTTTATTAAAACTCACAAACGCGTTGAAATGAGTTCCCCTTGATTCTTCCTATCAAACTCCTAAACAAATTGTTACATTTCCCCCTTTCCATCTCGTCCCTTTTACTCCTCTTCCCTTCCTCTTCGTTAGTGAACTCCTTAATATAGGTAGCTGGCAATCAAACCTGTAAGCGATCCGACGTCTAGCATAAATCAAAGCTTCTGTCCAACATAACTACTTAGCATGATGTTGATTACTTCGATTAAATTTACGCGGTTGAAGGGCATGGGATTCGATTCTTGAGCTAATTGGGTTTAGTGCAAAGGCTTAGCTCCTCATGTATAAAATGTGTTTATGCAGAATCTCCCAACGCGTAAATTTGTGACGAAGGATGCTGGTGAGGAGTTCATTTGGAGCAAACGTGGATTGGCCGTTGCTTCTAAATGTAGTAATTTTTCCTTGCATGAGAGGAATGTTAGAAAAATTATAAAGGAGATAGAAATTCTGAGGCGTGAAACGCTTTCCTTAAAGAAATATTTGTCCCACTTGATATTCAAAGTTGCTTCGGGTTAATGCAAATTTTCTTCTTAGGATACAACAGAAAATAAAAATTCCAGCAAGCAAAACTGGAATTTTCCACTAATTTCGTTGCGAAATAAGTTTGTAGTATTGTAAATGTTTTTGACAGAAAAATCTTGAAAAAGAAGTTAAGTTTAGATATATGAAATTATAAACTATTTATAGGTTTGAAAAAGTGCTTCCAACAGTCATAACTTTGCAAAACACTCATTTAAACAAACAGACATTTTTTAACAGCCACTTGTCTATTCATATTTTCAAAAATTCAAAATAAAGTTAAAAAAATAATATATTCAAAATATATATATTAAAAGGCTAGAATATTAAGCGGACGCGAGTTTAGAAGCCTATATTTTGATCCAGTTATCAAAGCCCAATAATTATTAAATGCTTTTAAACCTCTAAAAGAATGCTCAAATATCCGTTGTGGGACTATCTTGTTTTTACAAACAAATACTAACAATCCCCCATTTTGTTCGGAAAAACAATTTTTTAAATATTATTTTATTTAAAAATAATCTGCAATATGTACAAAATGAGATAAGTATACATATGTAGATGTATCTTTTGATTTAAACCTTTACTTAGTACAAACACCTCAAAGTTCTATCAAAGTCGTTAGCTGCCTTAACATTAAACTAATTAATCTTTGTGATAGAACCGAAGAATGTTGTACATATACTAATCTCTTGTTTCAATGAGAATTAATATTTTAGCATTGTTATGGCCTTGTGCTTATTCCCAGTTCGTGAACTCTTTAAAGAACAAACCTTTAGCTCTTTTAAAAAGCAGCACCACTTCTAAGTTCATATAGGTGAAACGTTTACAATGTGTTCTCCATTACTTTAAACACACAACAATAATGTATTAGACTTTCATTAAGAGCATAGCTCATCCTCTTATTTCGTAATCGACAATATTGACATTATCTTTTAGTGCTTAAGTGCGTCTAATAATCACATCAAAATCGCGCATTATTCGTGCTACCCGCACGCGGGTTTAGAAGCCTATACTTTGATCAATTTATCAAAGCCCAATAATCATTAAATGCTTTTAAACCTCTAAAAGAATGCTCAAATATCCGATGTGAGACTATCTTGTTTTTACAAACAAATACTAACAATCCCCCACTTTGTTTGGAAAAACAATTTTTTTAAATATTATTTTATTTTAAAATAATCTGTAATATGTACAAAATGAGATAAGTATACATATGTAGAGGTATCTTTTGATTTAAACCTTTACTTAGTACAAACACCAGAAAGTTCTATCAAAATCGTTAGTTGCCTTAACATTAAACTAATTACTCTTTATGATAGAACCGAAGAATGTTGTACATATACTAATCTTTTGTTTCAATGAGAATTAATATTTTAGCATTGTTATGGCCTTGTGCTTATTCCCAGTTCATGAACTCTTTAAAGAACAAACATTTAGCACTTTTAAAAAGCAGCACCACTTCTAAGTTCATATAGGTGAAACATCTACAATGTGTTCTCCATTATTTTAAACACACAACAATAATATATTAGACTTTCATTAAGGGGTTGTTTGTTTCACAAATAAACAAGAATAGGATTAGGAATCCGGATTTTTTTATGGATTCCTACCTATTCCATAAAAAATTTTAAGACAAGTTTGAAGTTTTATGGAATCCTTTTTTTTTTTGCATTTTATGTTTGTTTCACCCCATGGAAAAATAGAATCACACTTTTATAGAAACACTCCTATTCCTAATATCTAGTTTGGTTCAGAATAAATTTTTTTTGGATCAACACTGCAGCAACGACTAGTTCCAACAACTACCTCAATATTCAAATCTGAAACACTGTAGCAACGGTTAGTTCTTCAACTTGAACGTGTATTGTATCCTTCAATAAACCGTTTGCTTTCATTACTTCAGCAAGTTTAAAAAAGACCCTTAGACTCATTCTAATATAAGACCGGCAGCTATCACTATAGCCTTCCAATACACATCTGAAATGAGTTTCTCTGCAATGTATTTTCTTAATCTTTTCTTCATGCATACACGTTGAAATTGTCTTGCGCTTAGCACGCATTCTCAAAATACAAGTTACTAACGTGACCATGACGGAAACAGCTGTATTAGCACACATCCTTTTTAATTCTTCTTCATCTACCATATCCATCTACATCCGTTGCAAAATTAGCATACATTTACAACTTAATATGTCTACTTATTAAAGATTTAAATTAATTAAATATTTAATACAAATATTAATTTCTTAAAACAAGATATCTAATTACACAGAAATTTATTTTAAGTAATGTCGCATTTAAGTCCACACACTGATCAAACAAATATGATTAACGATTCAATCCAAGGGTTTCATTTGAAGGTCGTACTCCTCAATTACTCCAGGGAATTGAAATTCAATAATCAACTAATAGATCAATCATGTTCTTAAGAGATTAGACACGTAACGAATTATCAAAAACAACATATTATATTACCCAACGGGAAAAAATAAATTATCAAAAACTTTGTTGTTAACGATTCACATCAAGCACGAAGAAATGAATCTTAAAATTGGGGGGGAAATTTATACCTTCGGGTGCAGCGGGGGAAATTACTAAAATTCAAGCAACAAACCCACTAAAATCTAAGCAACAAACTCACCGATGGACACCACGAAGCCAACAAACCGACCGAAAACCAGATTTTCGAGAAGGTATCACCAACAAACTGACCGAAACCCACCAACAGAGGAGCGTCAACGATGAGAAGTTTGAGAAGGGATCACTAACAAACCAACCGAAAACCAAAAGATCGAGAAGGGATGACTAACAAACCGTCCGAAACCCACCAACAGAGGAGCGTCGACGATGAGAAGAGGGAGAAGCCGATTCCGCCAGCCACGAGT